CAGCAGCTGATAAGCTTTGCGATATGTTGAAACAGCATAAACTGATAATCGATAGTTATCGTTTTCAGGGAAAACTGCTGAGCTATCGATGATTTTTAATGAACTTGCAATAGTGTCGGGAGAAGCTACATTTCAAATTGGAACTTTAGCCCGAATTATTGCGGCTGGACGACAATTTATGGGGGCTTGATCGAATCACAGATTGCCTTCTGTTACATACACAAGCACAAAGCCAGAATACCCATTTTGAACCCATTTAAAATGGGTTAGGGTATAAGAAGCACACAAATACAGCCTTGGCTCTGCGTCGCGTCGCGTCGCTTTGCTTTGTTTTGTTTTCACTTACTTAATTATTACCTCTTTTAACAGTTGTTGTTGTTAATGTTGTTGTTGTTGTTGTTGTTGTTGTTGTTGCTGTTGCTGTTGTTTTTTGTGCGCGTTTCGCTGCTTGTAGTTTTTTTTCTATCTTATTTTTGTTTTTTGTTAGTCCGCCGTTCGCTCCTGTGCGCTCGACTCCACGTATCTCCGCGTACTGAGTGAACTAACCTTATTTCGAATGGAACGAATGAGCACGGAGATTGGCGCTTTGCGATTTGATTTCACTTGTCTCGCACACACACACACGCACGCACACCTCTAATTTTGTTGTGTGTGTGTGTGCGTGTGTGTGTGTGTTTGGTGTTACGAAATCTAATCAACACGTATCGTATCGTGTCGTATCGTATCGTATAGTATCGATGTTGTGTGTATTATGCCTGGCTCATAACTGTATTGTCGCACATATGTACCTGCATTTAGTTATAGACATATACTATATATCTCTAACGCACTCTCCCACTCTCCCACTCTCTCTCTCTCTCTGTCTCTCTTTCTCTCTGCATGTTAATTTAATGCGCTCTAAGCTCGACAGCATTGAACCGCTTTTGCTAACTGACTTCGACTTTGAATTTTGTGCATATGCAATTTATATCCGAGGCAGGCCTTCCCATAATCCCACCCTCTGCCCCTGTGACCCACACGCTTTATTGTTTTTTATAAATCATCATCAACAGCTTGTATTTATTATTTTGGTTTTTTTTTTATACACCTTTTGTTTTTTTGTTTGTACTCTGGCATTATTTGTGTTGTGCTAATTTGAATGTGCACTCTGTTTCCACTTGGTTTCACTCACGAAAGCGTTTTTTTTAGTTTATTTTTGGGACGGGGATCTCTTGATCAATCTAAACATGACAAGTTTTGAGTAAAATAAAAAATAAAAAAAAAGCAAATGTGCAAATGTTGACTCAACCAGCTGCTACCCTGTAACCAATGCATATGCTTTACCATGCAGCATATAGAAACATTCTTAGTATTCCCCAGTTGTATGTGACTTATCATGTGGACACATTTAGGAAATGCTCCGAAATGATTCAAAGAAAATACTTTTATGATTTTTAATCATACGTATTTTGACAGCTTATCTAAATTGACAATATGATTAATATGACTGCAAAATGAAATGAAATTTGTTGTATCTCATTTAATCACTTCTGATGACGTTTTCTCTCTAAAAAAAATAAACTGGTTAACATAAAAATAATGTTCTGTGCGCTTTCTTATCCTAAAGACAACCATAATTAAATAACACACTCAAATTGCAAATCGGTTAATGTTCAAGTAGCATTTTTCCAGAATATATCAAAATAAAATGCAATAACAAAGTCGTGTGCGCAACAGGGATTTTTCTATTTTTACTAGATGCACACGAAAATCACTTAAATTTTTCGCTTTAGTGCACACTCGATAGCTTCCACCTGTTACTTTAACGCTAGTGTTAATAAAGTGCCATACAAACAATAAACTTTGAAATCAATTTGCATTTTCCTTTGTTTTTCTTCAAACTTGAAATCGCACGCCTCTCATATGCATACAACATGTTCCCCTGCTTCTAATTATATAAAATACAAATTCTAAAGATCTTTAAACGATATAAGAGATAGCCGATTATTTATAAAAAAAATAGAGTGCGGGTAACAGTGACAGCAACAGAAAGAAAGTTAAATAAAATAAGGGAGTGAGAGAGAGAGAGAGAAAGACAGAATGAGAGCAATATAGAGAAAGAGAGATAGAGGGCAAGGGAGTAAACTAGGGAGAGGACAGATAAAATTGATCTAATTGCCACTTTTACTGAAAGCATGAAAAATGGGAAGACTTACTTGATTTCATGAGAATCGCGTAGGAGGGCTATATATAAATACGTTTTTTTACTTTGAACTACAGCGGAAAGTATGCTGCGTTTGGTTTAAGACAACATATGTGCACACACATACACACCTATTTACATATATATACATATATATATATATATATACATATATATATTATATATATATATATATATATACATGCATACATACATATATACATACATACATATATACATACATACATACATACATACATACATACATACATACATACATACATACATACACACATGCACCCATGCACCCATGCACCCATGCACCCATGCACCCATGCACCCATGCACCCATGCATACATGCATACAAAAACACAAACACATACCACTTAATAAACCTGCATGGCTTACTTGAATTCATGAGAATCGAGGAGGAAGGCACCACTTAAAAGTACGTTGCTTTTAAATTTGTAGCGCAGCAGGAATTAAACTTTGTCTTAATTTGCTTCATAAATGCATACATACATACATACACACATCCATATATACATTCACACACCTATACATATATATACACACAAACGCATGCATATGTAAATATGTAGAAGAAAACCTGTAAGTCTTACTTGAATTCAAGAGAATTTCAAAGAAGGGCTAAGTATTTGCAAAACAATTTTATTGAAATTTCCCACATATCGATGGGAGTATTCAAAAATCTGAAGTGAAGTTAGACATTGCACATACATAATTCGTACATACATCTCTCTTTAAATCGGTGAAATACGTATATTATTTTATATAGTATATAAATATATGCTTAAAGCCGATCGGACAAAACTTTCCAATAGAGCCCAAATCCTCAAAATCCGGCTTTACAGGGTAAATTTTTAAGTCGATTTCTGAAAATGGAAATTGAGCCAGACTCGCTCCAGAGTCAGACTCGCTGAAAACAAAAGAAGCAAAATTGTTTAATAAAACTGTTTTTCTCGCATTTTCCAAGCATTGGCCTACCTTTGTTTTAGCTCTCTCTCTCGCGCGCTCTCTCTCTCTCTCTCTCTCTCTCTCTCTCTGTCATCCATTTCATGGGTATAGGGTATTCCAACGCCTTATATTCCAAATTGCGGTTCCCCAAGCACCAGCTTAGCCCCCATTCATTGCATTGTGTGGGAGTCAACAAGTGTGCAATTGTTTTAAACGAACTATGTTACGTATACGAGGTGTTGTGCTGGCGGTGTAGGGTCATATAGCACATCGATAAGCATGAACTTACCTAACGCATGCTTGCCCACCTTTTCTGTTTGTTTTTTGTTTTTACGTCTCTTTTAATGTATCGCAAGATAAGTAAGTACATTTTTTTAGTCTACTGCGTGTAAATCGATATCTAAGCATATATATCATTCTTTTTATTTACTTATTTGTTTTTTTTTCTTTCTGCTGCTTAGTTAAATTGATAAGAACCCGGTTATTGTCGCTTAGTTTTAGATAAATATTTTGTATGAATCGAAATGAAACTATTTTACGTTCAAATACCTAAATAGTTAAATTGACTTACCTCACATTTCCACAAGAGGGTTCAGTCCTTGACTTACCTTGAATTTAAGCCGAGAGCTCTTTAGTTGTTTGAAATTCTCGGCTGATGATCTAATCACACTGTACTGCTGGGTTTCTTTGGGGATTTGGGCTGCGGCATGTTAAAGGCTAAATCGTTTTCCCACGTGGTTTTCATAGACATGTCTGGACAGTACCGAACTGGAGCTTCAACTCGCTTACCGTGAAGCCTGTTTAATGTAGTTGTTGTTTGTTAGTTTTAGTGTTGTTTTTAGGGTCTTTATACTTATAAATGTTTGGTTGAACGATGCGTTGAAGTTGTACATACGTATATTAAAGGCTAAACGAGGCATATCCGATCCCTTAGAGTACATAAATTCTTGAACAGGACGCCAAGCCAAGTCAATGTGTGTCTGTCTTGTGGTTTATTTTAATCGAATGCTGCTATTCAGTTAAGTCCCCAACACCCTTACATTTTTATTTGCATCATAATTACGAAGATCGTTTTTAAATATCGCCTCTCTATGCGCTTTTCATTAATTCAAGTAAGACCGTCGCTCACAATATTTCATTCACTCTCTTTGATTGAGCAACTTCTCTTGACTCTCTCTCTCTTTGCCTCCCTCTCAATGTTTTACCTAAATAAAGAAATAATACGCAGGAGCAGAAATATAAGATTATATATGGGGGCACCATAAGCAGTTACTTATTATATTTGCAGATGATTTCGCGCTTATCGCGCTATAAATGCGTACAATGCGGTCAGGGACACGCCTCTTGCGCAATCTGAGCGCCCACTCTATACAAATGTGGACCATTCAGACAGAGACGGAGAGTCGATAAACTGAAATATGTAGATAGCTTCAAATGTATGTATGTGTATATGTATGCATATGTATGTTCAGTTGTTTGTGTCAGCGTAAAAGCCCAGACAGGTTTTTTCTTCTGTTTTGTTTTGATCCATTTCTTTTTGAGGGCGCACAACTTATAAACAATACAAGTCAAACTTTGAGTTAGTCGCCTGCATTGTTTGCATTAAATTGTGTGAATATGGCTCACAGGTTGCCTACACTGTTCAGATGGCTTTCATTATCGTGATCGGGGCTACAGTTCTGGTTGACGTCTGTCAGTCTGGTGTTCCGATAAGTGTTGCGCTTGTCTTGTCAATAACATTAATTTCTATATGTGCATACATAGGATACCCAATTGCGAATGATAACGATAATTGATTCAATTGTAATCAATGCGTGTTGTCTTTGAATTTGATTGCAGAGCGAACAGAGCTACGACGATGAGCTGAGCTGCGCTTAGCTATGCATTCACAAAGCTATCGTTGAGATCTCACCCCACAGGGACACATCGCTGAAGGACACCGTCAGAGAACAAAGTAATACACAAAGCAACCAACCAACCAGCCAGCGAGTCTTCCAAACGAGAACGAGAACGAGCTGCGAGTGCAACAAGACAAACGACTTAATCACCAACGAGTTAGGATCAACAGGAAGAATAGCGAGTGGCTGCACAGAGCACGAAGGAGGAAGCCCTTGCAGAGCAGGTCAAGCAATTTGGTAGTGGTTGCCGTGTCAGGATCGTCATATAGAAATGACACTGACCACAACGGCGACGCCACCGGAGAGCAACAAGAAAATGGAAGTGAAGGCTTTGACAGGCGAGGAGAATCTACCCACATCTGAAATGGATCTGCTGGCTAAGCTGGAGGCCGCCAATAAGCTAATCGAAAGCGATGCCAAAAGCCTCAACTCGCTGCACTCAACGCACAGTCGCAAAAACTCGGACACGAGCCAAATAAGCCTTACTTCAAGTAATTGTTATGGTTATATATAAATATATATGTTGCTTTATTAATCGTGGTTTATTCACTTTGCAGGCGGCAATTCGGTTGCCGAGGAGGACATCTGGACCACATGGGCATCCATACTGAACGACTGGGAGGGCGCGCTGAAGCGCAAAAATCCCTGCGTGCGGGAGCTGGTGCGTCGCGGCATACCGCATCATTTTCGTGCAATCGTGTGGCAGCAACTGAGCGGCGCCGCCGATGCTGATAAAAAGCAATATGCGGAATATATTAAGGCAACGTCGGCTTGCGAGAAAGTTATTCGCCGTGATATAGCACGCACCTATCCGGAGGTTGATTTCTTCAAGGAGAAGGACGGGCCCGGCCAGGAGGCGCTGTTCAATGTGATCAAAGCGTATTCGCTGCACGATCGTGAGGTGGGCTACTGTCAGGGCTCTGGGTTCATTGTCGGCCTGCTGCTCATGCAGATGCCCGAAGAGGAGGCGTTCGCCGTTCTCGTACAGATCATGCAACAGCATCGCATGCGGCACATGTTCAAGCCATCGATGTCAGAGCTGGGCCTGTGCATGTACCAGCTGGAGAATCTGGTGCAGGAGCAAATACCCGACATGCACTTACATTTCCAGCAGCAAGGCTTCCAGACGACTATGTATGCGTCCAGCTGGTTTCTGACGCTCTATACGACCACACTGAATGTGAATCTCAGCTGCCGCATTATGGATGTCTTCCTTAGCGAGGGCATGGAATTCATTTTTAAGGTGGCACTGGCTCTGCTCTTGACGGGCAAGGAATCGCTGCTGTCCCTTGACATGGAGGCCATGCTCAAGTTCTTTCAAAAGGAGCTGCCCGGTCGCGTCGAGGCCGATCCAGAGGGCTTCTTTAATTTGGCCTATTCGCAGAAACTCAATACGAAGCGAATGAAGAAAATGGAGAAAGAGTATCAAGACTTGAAGAAAAAGGAACAGGAGGAGATGGTCGAGCTGCGACGGCTGCGGCGCGAGAATTGTCTCTTAAAGCAGCGCAACGAGCTGCTCGAGGCCGAAAGCGCCGCGCTGGCCGATCGTCTGGTGCGTGGCCAAGTCTCTCGTGCCGAGGAAGAGGAGACCAGGTAGCTTGAAAGCTAATCAATCCAATAAATATTAAATCTTTAACATGCGTCTATCTTTCGCTCAGCTATGCCATTCAAACGGAGCTGATGCAGCTGCGACACTCCTATTTGGAGGTCTCGCACCAACTGGAGAATGCCAACGAGGAGGTGCGCGGTCTAAGTCTGCGACTACAGGAAAATGTAAGTGTTGTATAATATCAAAATTTATCGCTATTGGATATTTTCGGTTGTTTTGTAACTAAAAACTGAAGAAAAAATGAAAATAATGAGAAAAAAATCGTGCTTTACCAATCGAAAGCTGTTTGTTAATCATTTCCGTCTTTCTTTTCCATTATGTTTATTTCTTATGGTTATGGTGCTTAAAAAAAAACAAAAATCTCAATATCTAAAAAAAAACTGGTAATCCAATTTCCAAACGTTTGCTTTAAAATATCAAAAAATAATAATAAAAAAAAAACGAAAAATTTGGTCAACGCCAAGCAGAACGTTTCAATCGATAGCGTAAGTATCGCAACTTGCTAAAACTCTAGGCAAAAATTTTTATATACATATATAGGTATATTTATACACATGTAGTGCTTAGGCCTCCAGAGCCATTTTTCCGTACACGATAGCCATAACAGGTGCATGCCAATATTGGTATTACGTAGCCGTTACTTTGCATGTTTGTTATCGTCCAATTTCGTGTACTCATTATTTGTTGACTTTTAACCAATTCATTCACGTGCTTGCATAATAATATAATACACTTACATCATTTGTATATATTGTACTCGTTCCTATTGATATTTAAGTAGAACTTATGCATTTAAGCTAGAGCTGGAAAACAATCGATGTGTTATTGATAAATAATCGATATGTGCATTAAGTGTGCTTTTAAATCGCAACTATAGGCCTACAAACATCAAATATCGATTTATCGATAGCTTTCAAGCTCGATTTGTACATTTATCGATAGGCATACGCATGCAAATCTTAAAAAGCTGCTGTTTTGTAAGCGTTCTAAAGTTTGTCCTGTCCCCATTTAGAATAATTCGCGTCAGTCGTCTATCGACGAACTGTGCATGAAGGAGGAGGCACTGAAGCAGCGCGACGAGATGGTCTCCTGTTTGCTCGAGGAGCTGGTCAAGGTGCGCCAGGGCTCGGCGGAAAGCGAGGATCAGATACGAAATCTGAAGTCAAAAATTGAGGAGCTCGAAGAGGATAAAAAGACGCTGCGCGAAACCACGCCCGACAATTCGGTGGCCCATCTGCAGGACGAGCTGATTGCCAGCAAGCTGCGCGAGGCGGAGGCCACGCTCTCCCTCAAGGATCTCAAGCAGCGCGTGCAGGAGCTGAGCACCCAATGGCAGCGCCAATTGGCCGAGAATCAGCGTAACGAGCACAGCGCTGCCTCCGTTGATTCCACACCCAAAAAGTTGTTAACAAATTTCTTCGATAACTCCAAATCGACGGAGCACACGCAGAAGCTCGAGGAGGAGCTAATGACGACGCGCATACGTGAAATGGAAACGCTAACCGAGCTGAAGGAGCTGCGTCTCAAGGTCATGGAGCTGGAGACACAGGTGCAGGTCTCCACGAATCAGCTGCGACGCCAGGACGAGGAGCACAAGAAGCTCAAGGAAGAGCTCGAACTGGCTGTCACACGCGAAAAGGAGCTGGCCAACAAGGCGCGCGAACAGCAACACAGGTCCGTCACGAACATGCCCAAGCAATATAATTAGTTATTTAAAGCAACATGAACCTCACACATTTCAGATACTCGGATCTGGAATCTCGTATGAAGGACGAACTCATGAATGTCAAAATCAAGTTCACCGAACAGAGCCAAACAGTTGCCGAACTGAAGCAGGAGATTTCACGATTGGAGACAAAGGTATGTCTTCTAAAATTCGCGTGCTCATGAATTGTCTGAAACTGAAATCTCTTTTTTTACCATATACCATTTTATCTTTAAGAATTCGGAAATGCTTGCCGAGGGTGAGCTGCGCGCTAATCTGGATGACTCGGATAAGGTGCGTGACCTGCAGGACAGGTTGGCTGACATGAAGGCGGAGGTGTGTATTTGCTGATGGGTCTAGTCAAACCATTTATTTGGATACCATTTGCTGTTTATTTTCGGTTTCGGGCTTTTAATACTGTGCGCACCCACCAAAACCGTCCAACCACAATGCCGATTCAAAGCGCCAAGCAAAACTCAATCACACACAAACACACACACACACTAATATTCACTGTGTACATACTCAACACACACCCACAAGCCACACTGCACTCTGAGCGCATTCAAAAAAGGCCATTCAAATGTTGCCGCTGGCCATGAGCAAAAAACAAAAATCTGTTTCCGTTCATGCTAACTTCCTATCAGCCCATACGCTTTGGTGTGGCATTCGCTTTTATATTTTGTATACGTGATTGTTATCATTTTCTTTAAAGAAGATATTTTTGAGTTATTTGTTTGGTACTTTGGAACTGCTGAAGATAATAATATCGTTATTTCTCATTGAATCTCTTTCTCACACCACACACACACACACACACACACGAAATATACGAAACGCGTTGCGTCTTTAGTATCCCACGCCAATAACCAGCCCCGACACTGAACCGTGGAAATGGATAAGCTAAGCTAATCGAAAACAGAAAGCCAAAACCAAACCAAAACTAAGCAAAATTCATCAACATCATTAACAAATGCATCTACCTTAAATCCCAGTTAAAAAGAAAAGAAAAACATAAACTAAAACTAAAACCAAGATCAAATTCAACACTTAACAACAAACCGACCAAAAGCAAATCAGGTGTCTATAAATCTGCCCTCTTCCCCCCTCACTTCCACAATTATTATTGATAGTATCTTTGTGTATATACATAAGTACTTTGGTATCGTTCTAAGATCTAAGCCTGTTCGTGTTACCCCGTTTCCTTTATAGACTTTGTCGTCCATTCTTTATGCTCATACAGTATTTTGAATACATATCGTATTTAAAGCATACTTATTTCTTTCTATACCAAATCATCCCGTACTTAGTATATTTGAACCTCTACCATCACTGCCTGCTGCTGCCCCTATTTATACATATTCAGTTTTTCGTGCAGAGCATGCGTCCCTTGATTTTACATGTTTACAAAGCATACTTAAGCTCTTATTTATTGTTTTTCCTTTTATTTTTGCTAGAAGGAATTGTTCGTATTTATTTCAAAATGCATGCTATCCATAAGAAAGATTTCCCCACATTTTTTGCTACCTCTTGTATATATAATTTTATTTGTCGAAAAAAAAACGAAGCATATTTAAAATATTTTATTATTCTTCAAATAGTATATCATACCGACTCTTGCGAATTGTAGGCAACTTAGCCACGCTTCACTGTAACGTCTGCTATCAATTGAAATAGGCAAAAAAAAGTACTGCTTGTTCCAAGGCCCAAAGCTCTTGGCTTAGCAAAGACGCAAACCTTAAGGCATAAATTTGAAGATCGTAAAATATTTGGCATACCTTTAAGTCCTTAGTGTGTATATCATCTTTGTTTATGCTTTCTAGTTGAATTAAGTTCAATTATCGTTCCTTGTTAAAATGCACATTTGTTATTAATAATTGTTTGTGTCCAAAAATTATCCAACCGCACGCTTCTCTGCCATAACTGAGTATCTATTTGTCACTGTTAGATTTGTACCTACTGTTATTGTTAACTTAGTCTAGTTGGTTAATGTCTAAGCACGCACACACACACACTTAAGCAACTACAACGTAATGCACGCACACATAAACAATAACAAAAACAAACATAGATACAAAGATACAAACATCATAAATGCCCCCCACTAACTGGCCAACATAATTTCCTGCTGCAGCTGACGGCGCTGAAAAGTCGCGGCAAATTTCCGGCCAACAAGCTGCGCAGCGCCTCCATACAATCCATCGAATCGACTGAGATCGATTTCAGCGACCTCAACATGGTGCGCCGCGGGAGCACGGAGCTATCCACATAATATTCAGAGCAGAAGGCGGCACACGGTACGGATATAATAATTGCATGCAATTATATCAACATATATGCATATATACATATATATAGACGATGATGGTAGACAACTATGTTAATCCTTATATATATATGTATATTTATATATTATCGGTTGATGTATATGTTTATTAGCTGCATATACATAACTATCTATGTATGCTCGGGTCACAAAGTCGGCTGTGGTGCGTCGATGGGTTTCCTTTGGGGCGTGTCAATAAACGTATAATTAGTTGAAATTCAATTAAAGCATATTACCTATTTATAATATAATATTACCTATGTTTTAAACGATTATTAATTAATTATTGTCATTATTATCTTTTTTTTTCTGCTTCATTGTATGTCTTTATATAAGTATATTGCTGTTATGTTTAACAACAAAGAAATACCACTAATATTTATTTATTGATATGTATAGTTTTTTTTTCGTCACATCGTTTAACGGGCGTTCACTATGTATACATATACATATATATATATATATATATATACAAAGCAGCTGCTAAATGACACATATGTATTTAACAAGTATTGTATCTAAATACATATATATACATACATATATATATATATATATATATTTATATTTATATATGCAAATATAATTAAAATCAAATTTGAAGGATTTTATGTACCCAACACTTTTAACGTAAGTTTTAAATTGAGAAAAAAAAACGAAAACGATAAAAATATGTGAGTTTTAACCAAGTTTAGTACGAGTAAACGCGAAAATGTCGAACTAGTTTTTATTTGTATTTTATATTGTTTACCTCTTAAAGTCTATGAACGTGTTGAATGATATTTTGTAAACATTGTCACACAGATACACACACACACACACACACACACACACACACACACACACACACACACACACACACACACACACATGTCCGAAACGAATTTGTAACTCCTCATCGTGTAGTTAACTAAGTTTAACATAATTTTTTTTTGATTATTGTATGTCTGCACAACAACAAACAATACAAATACAAACGTATTCTATAGTACCATATATACATATACATATATTTATATATATTAAACATACATAAACAAGAAATTGATAAACTTTTACGATAACGAAGTGCGAAAATCATCATCCGAAGAAAGCGTTTTTAATAATGTTCAAACATGTAACAAGCGTTGCCAAAATGTTATTTCAAACAACAACAAAAATCTATAAACTAAAAACTATAAACTATTTCAAATAGTTAGTGCGAACCAGAACCTCGAGATAAAGCAATTAATTGCAAAACTCCCATAACTTACGATATTCCAAATACGATATTCGGTTAATCCCATAACACAATGTAGTTGATACACACACTTACACACACACACACACACATACATATAGCATATGCATACACAAGACATATGTATTTACACAATTTATATTGATATTGATATATGTATACAGTGCATCAATTACTTACGTATAGCTGCCCCTTAAATGGATCTGCGATCCAACTATTTTGGCAGCTGCGAAACCTTGAAAAAAAAAAAGTGAAAAAGCAAAAAAAAGAGATAAGAATTATTATAAATGTGTATTTAAGTTTGAGCTGTTTTCCAAGTGCAATAATTCAATTTAATTCAATTAAATTCCTTTTTTTTTTTTACTAGTTTCTAAGCATTGTTTTAGACTTTTTTAATGTGTGTTTATTTTGGTTTTGTTATCACTGAAGTCATATATCGTATATAATTTACCGAATGTATTCTAATGCAGCAACGCGCTTCCATTATTCAATATTTCAATATCCTTTGATTTGCACTCAATGACAAGACCATATACATACCCACATATATGTATATGTAGTTTCTAAGTGAATAATGTGTCACAAATCTTAATTCAGTATGCATGCACATACATATATATACATTTATTAAGATGTTCTGCCGATTGTATTCACACAGAAAGTCTCTGAAATCACAAAACTTTCAACTTTTTAATCCAATCAGCAGGGACTTCAATAGATCTCACATCAAGTTTTCTAAAATTCCTTAAAAAAAAGGACTCGTCAAATATAGTTAACAATTTAAGGTGCCAAAAAAAAACTGTGACTTGCTAATTTCGAGTGAAAAAAGAGTCCAAAATGTTGCTCTGAAACCTACAGAGTAAATTCTCTGTAAATTCTTTACAGCTTTATACATATTTATCGCCTTAAAATGGGAGTTCTGTTCCTTGCTTGTAGTGTGGCAAACTTTACAATCATGTTGCTTTTCCAGTGCTGCACAATGTGTCAGTATTAAATGTTTTAATTAGCGAACACTGTTCAAGCTTACAAATTCCATTTGCATTTGTAAATGTTTCAGACTTCTTTCGAAGTGCACATTCCCAATTCCACAAAACGTACCAAATATAGTTCCTGCTCTCTCCTTCGCTCTCTGCTTCTTCTCTCTCTCTCTCTAAACAGGCAACATGTTAATAAATGTATTATTAAGTATGTCTGTACAACCAAATCTCGACAGAAACTTAACGTATTAGTTGAATGTTCAGAAGTTAATACGCACAATATTAAATTACAATCGTACATTGCCTTTTATGTGTACGATTTGCTAATTTTACGCAATAAATGTTACTTAATTAAGTTCAGCCTTAGCTTTCACTCAAACTGTATTCACACAAGGAATTTACAACAAGGATAAATTAAAGCTAAGCTCACAAACAAAATCAAAAAGAAGCATAAATAATGGACAAACATATCTGTAAAGCACTTAGTACCATATGTATGTGTGTACGTGTTTGCATGTATTAGATTGCATTAAAGCATGATTTGTTATGTGCTTGTCAAAGCCCATGCTAAGTTGACAGGTTGTTGGAACCGCGGGCGATAAATAATAAATATTTGATATACATATAACTGCCAATCACCAGTTGGTTTGTCGTTGACTAACACTGTGCAATGTATTGCAAATATTTACAAGGCAGATAAACTGTCTGTTAAAACATGTGAAAGTGACGTCTAATTTTTTGATATATAACTGTCAATCACCAGTTGGTTTGGGTTTGACCAACACTGTGCAATGTATTGCAAATATTTACAAGGCAGATAAACTGTCTGTTAAAATGTTTGACAGCCAACATGTGAAAGTATCGCCTAATTTTAGCATGGCCATAAGAAAAGCTGCAGCACTTGTGCAAATGTTTACCCCTAGTCGAATTGTGAATTGTTGCTAATTACAAAATCAATCAGCTGACTAACTGACCTGACTTCTCGGCTGAACTCGTAACGTGTTGTGCTGCGCACTTTGATAAATTGCTTGTCAAATCGAAATGCAAATCACGTTGGGGCTTGGGGCTTGCGGGTCGTTGATCAGTTGGCAGCGGCAGATAATTTGTTTGTTGCTGCCTCGATATGCAAATTCACAGGCACAGATACATGCACATATACATACAGAAGGTATTTGAAAATACATATATATATCTATATATGTATATATACACTTAATGTAATACAATACTTATATGAATGATTCAGCTTCCATTTATACAACTTACAATGTTCAGACCGAAATTGATTTATGTCACTTCAGTTTTCCTCAGTTTATTTTTAATTTAATTTAATTAATTATTTTTTGTTTTGTTTATTGTTACTTGAAACACATGTTCACAAACACACACACAATACACTGAGAGAAAAAATGCTATATTTAAGTAAACAATTTAAAATACCGAAAGTGTTTGTTTAAATATAGGAATGAACATGATGATACTTACATTTGTAGTAAATACTATTGAAATATTGTGTTGTAATTGTTCCAAAATTTATATTAAAAAAAAAAAACAAAAAACGAAGAAAAAAGCGAATAAAGTTAAAGACACTTAGTACTCGTATACATACATATTATGTGCATAGATGCCGCTATGGCATGCTATATACTATAACTAATCAAACATTTTGTGGACCGTTGTTAAAACAACAAATGCAAACACTTCGTATTACACAATTTACAAGGCTGAGGCCAGCAAATAAAAATAAAAATAAAAATAAAAATAACAATAACAATATATATATATTTATATATATATTGAAATCAAACAACAGACAACAAAAGATTCGTATACAATTTAGTATAAATCACAAGAATATATATACATGCGAGTAAATAAAATGGTAGAAAAATCAAAATTCAATAAAACAACATGTTATTATTACCTGCTTCTCGATTACAGCCAATTGATATTTTTGCGGGTATAATTGCGATTCAAAGATTAAGATTCCAAACCATTTCGAATTTGGAATTTTAAAAAAGTTTTTTAATGCACCGAACTTTAAATCAAGCCAACTTAAAGAAAAAAGTCGAATCGATGCCCGAAAAAAAGGAGTTTAGGGATAGATCGAAACTCAAAGTACAAATAACTTTGGCTCCAATCATTGGATGCATCTTTGCTAGATGTCCGATAATATAAAGCCTGCATTTGTTTATGAAATTATTTACGGTTTGCCATATTTTCAGCACAACAGGCTATAAGCAATAGAAAATAAATTTTGAAAACATACGACAAAGCCAGAACTAAAACTTGGAAACTCGGAAAACCAGCTTCAGGAACTGAAGAGAGCTGGTTGGAATCGAATCGAAACCAAAGCCAACTGTATTACTTGTTCCTGGCATTGAATATAGTTTTTACTCGAAAAACTTAACCAAAACTTTTGGGTTTTTCTTGATCAGTGGCATTTTAGGACCTTTTTCGAGTTTTTCGAAATTTTCTTTTTATGGCATCTGATTTCATGCCAAATTAAAACTCTGGCAAGAACCAAGAATCCTTCAGCCCGCATAAATTGGCCAGAACTGAGCAGGATTGTCTTGCTTGATTAAACTTAAATCTTATCGAAAAAGAGAAAATTTGTTAATTTTTTAAACAAAATATTAGAGAAAAGTTTCGAATTCATTTTCGAACCGAATCGAAAGGCAACTTTTCTGTCAAATATCGATGCCACAAATATCCAAATAGCCATTTCCCAGTTTTCCAACGCTTCAATAAAATGCCAGCAATTGAATTTTTTTTCGTGCATTTACTTAACTAAGGAGTATATGTATGTACGTATGTTTGTATGTGTATATAAGTATATGTATTGATATTTTAGGTAATTAATTAATGTTAAAATAATATCATTAATAGTTATGTTTCCCTCCGGTAGCCGGAACGTTGTCTTCTCTGTTTCGCTACCCGTTGTCTCGGCTCATCATGTTCAGCTTGGTGGGGTCTGGTGGGTGGTTGGGTGGTGGGTGGTTGGGTGGTGGGTGGTTTGGTGGTGTACTTGGTA